ATTTGCGCTCTAATCCCCAGGTGCGCTTCACACACACATTAATAGACGTTAATTAGACTGTAATTTAATTATGGAGTCTGATTGCTGTTGGAGACTCGTTTCCAAACTTTGCTCTTCTGATGCCATTAGCATTTAGAGTGAAGGTGTGAGGATTGTTCCTTGTGTGTTCCTGTTCTGCGTGAGCCGCCGCTGAAGGGTTAACGAAGCCTCGCGCTGGAGTTTAACGAGGCCTCGCGCTTGAGTTTAACGAAGCCTCGCGCTTGAGTTTAACGAAGCCTCACTCTGGAGTTTAACGAGGCCTCGCGCTTGAGTTTAACGAAGCCTCACGCTGGAGTTTAACGAGGCCTCGCGCTTGAGTTTAACGAAGCCTCGCGCTTGAGTTTAACGAAGCCTCACTCTGGAGTTTAACGAGGCCTCGCGCTTGAGTTTAACGAAGCCTCACGCTTGAGTTTAACGAAGCCTCGCGCTGGAGTTTAACGAGGCCTCGCGCTTGAGTTTAACGAAGCCTCACGCTGGAGTTTAACGAAGCCTCGCGCTTGAGTTTAACGAAGCCTCGCGCTGGAGTTTAACGAAGCCTCGCGCTGGAGTTTAACGAAGCCTCGCGCTGGAGTTTAACGAAGCCTCGCGCTGGAGTTTAACGAAGCCTCGCGCTGGAGTTTAACGAAGCCTCGCGCTGGAGTTTAACGAAGCCTCGCGCTGGAGTTTAACGAAGCCTCACGCTTGAGTTTAACGAAGCCTCACGCTTGAGTTTAACGAAGCCTCACGCTTGAGTTTAACGAAGCCTCACGCTTGAGTTTAACGAAGCCTCACGCTTGAGTTTAACGAAGCCTCGCGCTGGAGTTTAACGAAGCCTCACGCTTGAGTTTAACGAAGCCTCACGCTTGAGTTTAACGAAGCCTCGCGCTTGAGTTTAACGAAGCCTCACGCTTGAGTTTAACGATGCCTCGCGCTTGAGTTTAACGATGCCTCGCGCTGGAGTTTAACGAAGCCTCGCGCTGGAGTTTAACGAAGCCTCGCTCTGGAGTTTAACGAAGCCTCACTCTGGAGTTTAACGAAGCCTCACGCTTGAGTTTAACGATGCCTCGCGCTTGAGTTTAACGAAGCCTCGCGCTGGAGTTTAACGAAGCCTCACGCTTGAGTTTAACGAAGCCTCACTCTGGAGTTTAACGAAGCCTCACGCTTGAGTTTAACGATGCCTCGCGCTGGAGTTTAACGAAGCCTCGCTCTGGAGTTTAACGAAGCCTCACTCTGGAGTTTAACGAAGCCTCACTCTGGAGTTTAACGAAGCCTCACGCTTGAGTTTAACGAAGCCTCACTCTGGAGTTTAACGAAGCCTCACGCTTGAGTTTAACGAAGCCTCGCTCTGGAGTTTAACGAAGCCTCGCTCTGGAGTTTAACGAAGCCTCACTCTGGAGTTTAACGAAGCCTCACTCTGGAGTTTAACGAAGCCTCACGCTTGAGTTTAACGAAGCCTCGCGCTGGAGTTTAACGAAGCCTCGCTCTGGAGTTTAACGAAGCCTCACTCTGGAGTTTAACGAAGCCTCACGCTTGAGTTTAACGAAGCCTCGCGCTTGAGTTTAACGAAGCCTCGCGCTGGAGTTTAACGAAGCCTCACGCTTGAGTTTAACGAAGCCTCACTCTGGAGTTTAACGAAGCCTCACTCTGGAGTTTAACGAAGCCTCGCGCTTGAGTTTAACGAAGCCTCGCGCTGGAGTTTAACGAAGCCTCGCGCTGGAGTTTAACGAAGCCTCGCGCTGGAGTTTAACGAAGCCTCGCTCTGGAGTTTAACGAAGCCTCGCGCTGGAGTTTAACGAAGCCTCGCGCTGGAGTTTAACGAAGCCTCGCGCTGGAGTTTAACGAAGCCTCGCGCTGGAGTTTAACGAAGCCTCGCGCTTGAGTTTAACGAAGCCTCACGCTTGAGTTTAACGAAGCCTCACGCTTGAGTTTAACGAAGCCTCGCGCTTGAGTTTAACGAAGCCTCGCGCTGGAGTTTAACGAAGCCTCGTGCTGGAGTTTAACGAAGCCTCGCGCTGGAGTTTAACGAAGCCTCGCTCTGGAGTTTAACGAAGCCTCGCGCTGGAGTTTAACGAAGCCTCACGCTGGAGTTTAACGAAGCCTCACGCTTGAGTTTAACGAGGCCTCGCGCTTGAGTTTAACGAAGCCTCACGCTTGAGTTTAACGAAGCCTCACGCTTGAGTTTAACGAGGCCTCGCGCTTGAGTTTAACGAAGCCTCGCGCTGGAGTTTAACGAGGCCTCGCGCTTGAGTTTAACGAAGCCTCGCGCTGGAGTTTAACGAAGCCTCGCGCTGGAGTTTAACGAAGCCTCGCGCTGGAGTTTAACGAAGCCTCGCTCTGGAGTTTAACGAAGCCTCGCGCTTGAGTTTAACGAAGCCTCGCGCTTGAGTTTAACGAAGCCTCGCGCTGGAGTTTAACGAAGCCTCGCGCTTGAGTTTAACGAAGCCTCGCGCTGGAGTTTAACGAAGCCTCGCGCTGGAGTTTAACGAAGCCTCGCGCTGGAGTTTAACGAAGCCTCGCTCTGGAGTTTAACGAAGCCTCGCGCTGGAGTTTAACGAAGCCTCGCGCTGGAGTTTAACGAAGCCTCGCGCTGGAGTTTAACGAAGCCTCGCGCTTGAGTTTAACGAAGCCTCGCGCTGGAGTTTAACGAAGCCTCGCGCTTGAGTTTAACGAAGCCTCACGCTTGAGTTTAACGAAGCCTCACGCTTGAGTTTAACGAGGCCTCGCGCTTGAGTTTAACGAAGCCTCGCGCTTGAGTTTAACGAAGCCTCACGTTGGAGTTTAACGAAGCCTCGCGCTTGAGTTTAACAAAGCCTCGCGCTTGAGTTTAACGAAGCCTCAGGCTTGAGTTTAACGAAGCCTCACTCTGGAGTTTAACGAAGCCTCGGGCTTGAGTTTAACGAAGCCTCATGCTGGAGTTTAACGAAGCCTCGCGCTTGAGTTTAGCGAAGCCTCACGCTTGAGTTTAACGAAGCCTCACGCTGGAGTTTAACGAAGCCTGGCGCTTGAGTTTAACGAAGCCTCGCGCTGGAGTTTAACGAAGCCTCGCGCTTGAGTTTAACGAAGCCTCACGCTGGAGTTTAACGAAGCCTCGCGCTTGAGTTTAACAAAGCCTCGCGCTTGAGTTTAACGAAGCCTCACGCTTGAGTTTAACGAAGCCTCACTCTGGAGTTTAACGAAGCCTCGCGCTTGAGTTTAACGAAGCCTCACGCTTGAGTTTAACGAAGCCTCGCGCTTGAGTTTAACGAAGCCTCGCGCTTGAGTTTAACGAAGCTTTGCTCTTGAGTTTAACGAAGCCTCGCGCTGGAGTTTAACGAAGCCTCGCGCTTGAGTTTAACGAAGCCTCGCGCTTGAGTTTAACGAAGCTTTGCTCTCGAGTTTAACGAAGCCTCACGCTGGAGTTTAACGATGCCTCGCGCTGGAGTTTAACGAAGACTTCCGCTGGAGTTTAACGAAGCCTCACGCTGGAGTTTAACGAAGCCTCGCGCTTGAGTTTAACGAAGCCTCGCGCTGGAGTTTAACGAAGCCTCGCGCTTGAGTTTAACGAAGCCTCGCGCTTGAGTTTAACGAAGCCTCGCGCTTGAGTTTAACGAAGCTTTGCTCTTGAGTTTAACGAAGCCTCGCGCTGGAGTTTAACGAAGACTTCCGCTGGAGTTTAACGAAGCCTCACGCTTGAGTTTAACGAAGCCTCGCGCTTGAGTTTAACGAAGCCTCGCGCTTGAGTTTAACGAAGCTTTGCTCTTGAGTTTAACGAAGCCTCGCGCTGGAGTTTAACGAAGACTTCCGCTGGAGTTTGATGAAGCCTCGCGCTTGAGTTTAACGAAGACTTCCGCTTGAGTTTAACGAAGTCTCGCGCCGGAGTTTGACAAAACCTCGCGCTGGAGTTTAACGAAGCCTCACTCTGGAGTTTAACAAAGACTTGCATCCTGCTTTAATCCTGCGAATCATTTTGACTGAGAGATAGTTCGATAGTTTGCCAAAAAAAGAAGGGCACATATTGGAGCTGAGTTCTCCTGCACTGATGCTCTTCTGTTCTTCAGAAACACGGTTCAGGCAAGAACTAGTGATGAATTATTAATACACTACAGTTTATATGTTAATACAACTGTTAATATGGACCTGAACTAACTATGAACAGTTAATATCAAGATGAATAAAAACTGCAACAAACAAATTGCTCATTGTTAGTTAATGTTAACTATTGTAAAGTGTTATCAGTAAGTGATGCAAATATTCCACGTTTCATCGCCAAATAATGCTAAACATAAACTCATAAACTCTGTATGAAATACACGTACAGACAGCCTCGAGATATGCGTTCACTTCAGTCAAAACTGTACATGTCCTTCATCAGATCGAGATTAAAACACCAGATCGATTGTGTTATTCTGCCTGTTAAATGTTCTGATTGTAAAATGTGTTTTGTGTATGTGTGTGAGTGTGCGTATGTGTGTGTGCATGATTGTGTGCGTGCGTGTGTGTGTTTGTGTGTGAGTGCGTGAGAGTATGCGTGTGCGTGTGTGTGTGTGTGTGTGTGTAAAACACATGATGATGACTAACATGCGCTCAACACTCATGCAAAAACGAACGAAACTGATCAAACATGGAGGGAAATGAACAGAAAGTCATCGTGCGTCGGTTCATTCCGATGGAAGAAACCCAGATTTCCCTTTCCCTCTGAAAGCAACTGGAAGAACGGGGAAAACTGGGCTCCTGCTACTCGTGATGATGTTTCTCTAAGGGACTCAGGGAATCAGTGAGTGATCAGATCCTCCCTTCAAACCACAGCACTCAATGATTCAAAATGGCAGAACTGTGGGCCGGATCATCATTGATCATCCGTCAGGAACAGCTCGGGATGAACCCGGATCTCAGGCTCGGTTTGAAGAGAGGAGGGAAGTCACTGGGTTGGAATCATGCATGGAATATCAAGCGAGGCGTGGAAGAGAAAGCACTGAAACTAGTTTCACAAAGTGGTTACTTACAGGTAGTAAGTGTAGGAGTGATAGGATCTTCTGCCGAGTGGGTGGAGGGGTGGGGGGATGGAAATGGAAGGAAAGAAAAAGTAAAAATATTAATGTCTGAAAATATAGAAAAATGAGCAAAACCTGATATGGTGACAAAAGTGACGAGTGCCTGTGTGTGAGAGAGGCGGGGCTGTGGGCGGAGCCTAGGGTGTGGGCGGGGCAACTGTTAATGCATCGTTAGGAGCGTCTCTAAGAAAACCACAGTTCTTTTTAATTAGAAGTCAACGATAACGAGGCTGTTTCTGCGAAATTCCTGTGTAAATCTTTCAAAGAAGCACTTACTTACATATTTATAAAACAAAGTTAATATTAATTTCAACATTTACTAATACATTATTAAAATCAAAGGTTGTATTTGTTAACATTAGTCAATGCACTGTGAACTAACATAGACAGCAGTATTTATATTAACTACATACTGTAACAAATGTTCATTTGCATCATTTGCATAATGCATCTTGAGAAAACAATCGATCTGCTCGTTTCGAAAGCAACATGCACGTCTGTTTAATGCAATATTTACCTGCAAACTTTCTTATAAAGAGAGAGAGAGAGAGAGAGAGAGAGAGAGAGAGAGCTCTAGCACTCATAGTGTATAGTTGTCTCTGTTAACAGTGAGTTCAGGCCTGACTCAATTACTGATGTCAGTGGATATGGATCCCATCAAATTACACTGAGATTTATCATGCCGTGCCAAGATCATTACGCCGAAACGGGCGATCCGAGGTAAAGCGGCCCGTCAGCAGGACGGAGAATCCTTCGGCAAATGTTTGGCCATTTCGAGGCTCAACAGCAAAATCAATAGAGACAAACACCCTTATTCTGCGAGCGTAATGACTCTCATTAAAAACATATTTACTCGCCCTGCCTTCAGTTTACACCTCAACCCTCCGGAACCGGGCCTGGATCTGAACATCCTGAACTCCCGCTGAGGACGGGATCTCGTGTAAACTCGGGAGGGAAAAAAAACGCCTTTCATTAATTTTTCTCTCTTATCTTGGCTTTTCTTTCATTCTTTTTTTCTTTTCTGCACAAGATAAGCTTGGAAAATATTTGTGCTGTTTCCCGTCGCCGGGTCATTAAAGCGCGCCGTTTGTTTGAGAGCAGAGAGAAAAAATTAATATTTCATCAGCCGGCGTGTATTGGTGCCACAAACCGTGTAATGGTGCTTATCAGAGCGATCAAATCAATTATTCTGTGTTGAGCCGACAAAAGGGGCGATCGAGAAGCAAACAGAAGCATTTGACTTTCATGTGTTCGAGGGCTCATGAAACATTGAGTGTGTGTGTTCACTCCCTGATCTTCACCTTCAGAGTCGAAACATCCTCAACCAATAGCGTGAGTTTGGGGGCGGGGCTATCCCTTTGACTGACAGCTGGTGGGAGTGCAGTGGTTCGTAAAACAATTTCAAATTTCTTGAATAATTATGGCTGTTTGTGTAATAATTTTGACTTTTTTCATGATTTTGACTTTTTATCTCAATTATTACTTAGTATGTCATAATATTGACTTGTTTCTCCCAATTATGGCTTTTATTTTATAATTATGACTTAGTATATCAATTGTGATTTTTTTATCTCATATATTTCAGAGTTTTTATTTCATAGTTATAACTTTTTATTGCAAAATATTGAGATTTATTACACAATTTCGATTTAGTTTATTAAACTAAATTATATTTATTATTATATTGTTATATATTTTATAATATTATATTATTATTATATTATAATATTATATTATTATAATATTATTATTAATAATATTATATTATTATATTTATATTTATTAATATTAAAGGCCATCCTTTTTTTCCTCATAATGGTAACTATTTATCTCATAATTATGAAATATATCTTCAGCTCCCTGCTGGAAAAACCAGCTCAGACCAGCTCAAGATGGTTAGGAACATGTCATCTGTATATCAGATAAAAACTAGTCATTTGTTTCCCACGTTTAAATACATTCTTGTATTTTTATGTTCAGAGTCACTGTAAGTTTGAATGAACACCTCATCCAATGACATGAGTTTGGGGGCGGGGCTATCGGTTTGACTGACAGCTGGTGGGCGTGCAGTGGTGCGTAAATGACACACGTCGGCTTTAAAGGAATTAAACATTGATGTTAATCAGATCACGGGTAATATAGCTGAGCGTAAGTGAAGCTCTTACCGTTTCTTCATGACCAGCACCACACCGAGGAAGATGATGACGAAGAGCAGGACTCCAGCGATGACTCCTGCGATCTTCACCGTGTGATCCGTGTGTTTCTCTGGCTCCACGGCGTCAGGCTTACGGGTCGCAGCACCTGCAACACCAAACCAGTCACTGGTTTCTACTTCATTACGCTATTGCTACGTCATTACACAATTTCTACATCATTACGCTATTTCAGCGTAATTACACTATTTCCACATAATTGCACTATTTCTAAGTCATTACCCTATTTCTGTCATTGCGCTTTCAACGTCATTACGCTATTTCAACGTCATTATGCTATTGCTATTTCATTACGCTATTTTTACATAATTACGCTACTTCTACATCATTACCCTATTTTAACATCATTACGCTGTTTCAACATTACGCTATTTCTACATCATTACGCTATTTCTGCATCATTACGCTATTTCTACATTATGCTACTTCTACATCATTACACTATTTCAACGTCATTACGCTATTTATACCTCATTACGCTATTTCTGCATCATTACGCTTTTTCATTACGCTATTTGTAAATCATTACGCTATTTCTACGTAATTACGCTATTTCTACATTACGCTATTTCTACATCATTACGCTATTTCTACATAATTACGCTATTTCTACATTACGCTATTTCTACGTCATTGCGCTATTTCAACGTCATTACGCTATTTCAACATCATTACGCTATTTCAACATAATTACGCTATTTCTACATCATTGCGTTATTTCTACATCATTACGCTATTTCTACGTCAATACACTATTTCTACATCATTGCGTTATTTCTACATCATTACGTTATTTCTACATCATTATGCTATTTCATTACGCTATTTCAACATCAGTGCGCTATTTCAGCGTCATTACGCTATTTCTACATCATTACGCTATTTATGTGATTATGCTATTTCTACATCATTACGCTATTTCTACGTCATTATGCTATTTCATTACGCTATTTCAACGTCATTACGCTATTTCAACATCATTGCGCTATTTCAGCGTCATTACGCTATTTCTACATCATTACGCCATTTATGTCATTATGCTATTTCTACATCATTACGCTATTTCTACATCATTACCTATTTTAGTGATTTACCGAGCTCAGTCGGATGGATTAAGGTGTTTTACATTATGCTTCTCAGTGCGATTGAGACGTCAGTCCCATTACTAGCGGATGATTGGGTTGCATGTAAACATAGTCACGGTGACAAACGAACATGTGACGCACAGAAAATCAGCAGCAGGATGTGAACAATCTAGGTAGATCTATGTGAGGATGTGCCTGTTGTTAGTAAAACAGGTTAGTGCTGGTTATATATCCTAGAGAAAGACTTTAAGATCTGAGACGTTTCTCTGGAGAGATCACTGGAACTCCAGACGCTGTAATGGGACAAATATCAATTCCCAGCTCTAAATGGAAAACAACGCCTGACAGCATCCCTCAGCCGTTGCCATGGCGACGGCCCGACAGCATCCCTCAGCCGTTGCCAAGGTGACGCAGGACGGTTGCCGTGTTCGGGTTCCTGTTCCGCCGTAGGCGATTCTCAAGAAATCGACAACAGAAGCCCGAATTCATGCTTTGATAAATCATGATTACAAGATTTTAAATCTTATTTTAATGCCACAATTTTGAACTTTCCTCTTATAATTTCAACTTTTAATCTCATAATTATGACTTAGTATCTCATATTACGACTTAATATTTAATCACTGTCTTTTTATGCCATAATTATGACGGTCAATTCCAAACTTTGTCTCGAGATTATTATTATATTATAATTTTGACTTTTTGTCCCATAAATATTACTTACTATCTCAGAATTATGGCCTTTCAATCATAATTATGACTTAGTTTTTTTTATCATTTTGATGTTCGTCTCATAATTTACTATTTAATCTCATAATTTGGACAGTATTTTATAATTTTGAAGTTTTTCTCATTAACTTTTATCTCATAATTGAGTGTTTAATCTCATAATTTTGACTCAATCTCACAATTATGATTAGCATGTCATCATCCGCTAGCATTTACGCGCTGCCTGACAGCGGCGGACTGAGAACATTGAAATGTGCTTTCCAGCGGATGAGCTTGTCATGCGCCGCGCTCTTTAGTTCAGGGTCTGCCGGGTCACATCGATTCCTTCAGCGGACATCAGCGCTGAATAAAAAGCAGCTAATTTAGTGACTCCTGCTCCGGCGTTTTTTCCCCGCAGTAAATGTGTGTATTCAGCGCGCAGATTGGGCTAATGGAAAGTGACCTTTTGCGGGAAGCAAAACAGCAGGATCAAACGAGGCTCATCAGACGAACGTAACCCTGAAAATCCTCAATTACCTTTTCAACCTGCATCCATTCACAGCTGAAAGCCATCGACACACACACACACACCTAAACATGCAGCCGTGGGTCACACACACACACCAGACAGCACTACAAACCAGCAAGGGAAAACTTGCACAGACTTTATTCAACAACAACAAAAAAACATTTCTAACTCATATTTTACTCAAAAAAAAAGAAATAAAAAAATGAAAGAATTATATTTGTCACAAGAACATTATATTAGGAATAGTGATTGAAGAATAATATAGATTTTAAATGACGTTATTTTCAGACAATTAAACTCATGACTGTAATGCAGACGCTGTAGTTTAGAGATTTCTCAAAGTTGATTCTCATTACTACAAAATCAGGATTTATTAATTCAAATCTGCATACATTTAGGGCAGTGCGACATATTTTATTTGTATTTGTAGTATATATATATATTATTATTATTTTTTTTTACTTTTGGAATGAAGTATGATCTGGGCATGAGCACACACACAAAGCAGAAACTGGACTGGTTAAACAATCACGCACGCATGCACTCAAACACACCCCTACACATATGTCTGCTTCACTATCTTTGTGGGGACTCTCCATAGCCAAAACATACCCATCAGACACACACACACACACACACACTCTAACCCTAAACCGATCTCCCACCCCTGACACACACTAACCATAAACCTACCCGTCACACACACACACTAACCCTAAACCTATCCGACACACACACACACACACACTAACCATAAACCCACCTGTTTACACACACACACACCCTAAACCCACCCATCACACAAAGCTTATAAACTTAAACTTAAGATTAGATTTTTTGAACTTGAGAAATGATTTATAGGCTGTTTTTCTCATAGGGACCATCAAATGTCCCCACAAGGACAAGGGTTTTAGATATTGGCATATTTTTGAAAACATTGTGTCCCCATATGTAGGGTTTACCAGGACACACACACACACACACACACACTGATGTGGACGGTGGGAGTTCTGACCTGTTAGTTGGCTGTCGCCGGCAGCGGGTGCGATTCGCACATATGGTGTGGTGAGCTGTGTCACAATAATGGCAGCTAGAAGAAGACAAGAGATCCAGCCAACATGCAGAGAGGGAGAGAGAGAGAGAGAGAGGGAGAGAGAGAGGGAGAGAGAGGCATTCCTTCATCTACAGGTTATTAATGCAGAGAGACAAACCCTCGCGAGCGGCCGCTTCACAGACAATCACATGATCAATCCTTCGCTAACATCAGAAGCATGGTATTGTTAGCGTAGCGACTGATCTACAGTGAGCGACTGTGATCGCCAAGCTTCAGTCCGAGCGGCGGCTCGCGAGGGCGCTCGAGAAAGACAGAAAGTTTTCGTCACATGCTCAGTGAGAATTAATAGCTTGATACTGAAGGTCAGTGAATTATTGCATGTGCGTGTGGACGTGTTCCTCAAAAAATCAAGACAAGACATTCGGTAACCAGCGGAGACAGAACAATCAACTTAAGAAAACAAGATTATTGTTCCGACTCCACTGACAGATTTCTGTTCTTGTTTTAAGCACAAACTCACTTTATTTTGATAGATGTTTCATTAAACAAGACTTAATATCTTGATTTAAGAACGTTTTGATGTTTTTGCTGGAAAACAAGACTCGTTTAATAAGTGTGTGTGTGTGTGATTGATGATTGACAGTGTTTAACAGTGTTTCTACACTCGTCCTTCTCACACAATCGCAGGTTCAAGGATTGAAACCTCATCTAAAACATCTCAATGTGTCGATGAGCACGAGTTCCCTTTCAAGGTCGACTCCGAGCGATGACGTCGCTAAGCACATGTGAACGGCGGAGGTGGGTGACTTCACGAACCAGGGAACTATAAAGCCGCGGCAGCGCTAGCTTGTAACAGCCTGAAGTAGCGCTCATTGTGAAACTATCCCTGGGTGGGGACACACACATTCTTTATGTATCTTGTTTGGGTGAGGAGTCAGCGCTCGAGGGAGACGTTATCAGTGTCGACGCCAGAGATGCTGAGGACTCGTGCGTTGGAGGAGCCGGTTGAGGTTGTGGCGAGAGTGTTAGCAGCGAGTGTGTTAGCCGCGAGAGCGTTAGCAGTGAGAGCGTTTGAGTAGCGAGAGCATTTGAGCAGCGAGAGCGTTAGCAGCGAGAGCGTTAGCAGCGAGAGCGTTAGCAGTGAGAGTGTTAGCAGCAAGAGCATTAGCAGCGAGAGTGTTAGCAGCGAGAGCGTTAGCAGCGAGAGCATTAGCAGCGAGAGCGTTAGCAGCGAGAGCGTTAGCAGCGAGAGTGTTAGCAGTGAGAGTGTTAGCAGTGAGAGTGTTAGCAGTGAGAGCGTTTGAGCAGCGAGAGTGTTAGCAGTGAGAGTGTTAGCAGCGAGAGCGTTAGCAGTGAGAGTGTTAGCAGCAAGAGCATTAGCAGCGAGAGTGTTAGCAGCGAGAGCGTTAGCAGCGAGAGCATTAGCAGCGAGAGCGTTAGCAGCGAGAGTGTTAGCAGTGAGAGTGTTAGCAGCGAGAGTGTTAGCAGTGAGAGTGTTAGCAGCGAGAGCGTTAGCAGTGAGAGCGTTTGAGCAGCGAGAGCGTTAGCAGCGAGAGCGTTAGCAGTGAGAGCGTTAGCAGCGAGAGCGTTAGCAGCGAGAGCGTTAGCAGCGAGAGCGTTAGCAGCGAGAGCTTTAGCAGCGAGAGCTTTAGCAGTGAGAGCGTTAGCAGCGAGAGCGTTAGCAGCGAGAGCGTTAGCAGCGAGAGCGTAAGCAGCGAGAGATTTAGCAGCGAGAGCGTTAGCAGCGAGTGTGTTAGCAGCGAGAGCGTTAGCAGCGAGAGTTTGAGCAGCGAGAGCGTTGCTGCAAGAGCGTTCAGTGTTGCCCACTGAAGCTCACCAGCAGGGACGTGCACAGGGGGGTTGCTCAGGTTGCCCGGGCAACTGCCCATATGCCCTTCTCGACAGGTTGCCCTTCCGAGGAAAAAAAAATAGATGTAGAATTTCACGTAGGCCTAGACAAAAAATAATATAAAAATCGCAAAGCCTCATTTACTTCCAAAAAAAAAAAAAAAGTGAAAGTCAAACTGTTTCCACGAGACCATCTAGACACTGCACGCGACCGGTGCGGTAAGGCACCGCAAATTACTCAGGCCGCGCCTCCATCTCGTGTCGCGCGCTAATTAATGTGTAAGAAGTCCATGACAAAATGAAGCGAAACTATCCTTCTCGTCACGAAAAGAGGAAGAAGAAAAACATGAGAGTGAATTGCGGGAACAGCAGTCAGGTAAACTTGTGTTCTGTCCTCTCTAGTGTCAGCAAAGTTTGATGGTTTGTCTGGGCTGGCAGTGCATCTCTTGCATCACTTTTTGCCTGACAAAAGTGAGAGTAAAATACCATTATTTATTACGTTTTGTTTTTGATGAACGACAAAGTGCAACAACAGTGTTTGTTTACTGCAGCTCGGAAAACATAACCGCGTCGCGTGTGTTGCGTTCATATGCGCGTGCACGAAATGAAACTCGCATTTTTCAAGCAGAAATGTGGAGACCAGAGAAGTACCGTACAATACGTGAATGATGGCACTCCCAATCGAAGTACACATTATAAAGACACTAATTATCTAGTCTCAGTGTAGTTAAAAACTCTAAACAACTGCACTAATTATGCAAGATAAACCAATGTATTGGCAATTTGACATTGATTGACTATTGATTTATAGGGTATATTGAATTTAAAATGATGATTAGATGGACATTCTGGTCAATATGAATGCAAATCCCTCCGTAAATAACGATAAATCAAGATTTGCTTCAACATGCATAAAAATAAAATAAAAATCATAGGCTACTGATTCCGAAAATACCCAGGCTGTAGAGAGAACCAAAGTTAATCCCAAAAGCCAAAGTTCAGGGTTGTACTTTATTATTTTCTTCTTGTTTATGTTTATGTTAATATTCACTTAACATTCTATAAAAATGCTTTATTCAGTAAATATTGTTTGTTCGAACCTCATTCTGTTCTATATTGTTGTACTTATTCTTTGACTGTTTTGTTTAAAGGAGGTAGGATTGTATTGGGCGGTATTGAGTGGCAATGGCAAATGGTTTACATGGCTCACGGCATCACAGATCAGGTAGAGGGCCCCTTAGCAGAATTTTGCTTAGGGCCCCATGCAGGGGGAGGTCAGGATTGGCAAAAAAGAATTGTATTTTTTTTACCAAAATCTAAGCGTTTTTTATTTTTTCCATTTAATCCAGATTATTTCTTTTCAAATAAATAAATACATAAATAACAATTTTAAAAAACAATAAACAACAATATGAGGAACTCTTTTGCTCATTTGTCTCCACTCTGACATTTTGCAATCTTTATAAATAATTATAAGACCATAATATAACATAAGATGAGGCATTGCGTGTGGACATAAACACGGCCAGATAAGGCAATTTGGAAGGGGACAAATTCAACTGAATATATTCCTTCATATAGCCTGTGAGGGGGAAGGGGGTGGGAGGGGGGGGGTGCCCTTTTTTCAGGTCAGAGCAACTGCCCCTCAAAATTCCTGTGCACGTCCCTGCTCACCAGAGTTGAGTCTGGTTAGTACCTGGGTGGGAGACTCCTGAGAAAACCAGGTCGCTGCTGGAAGGGGACTGAGTGAGGCCAGCAGGGGGCGCTCACCTGGGGTGTGTGTGGGTCCTAACGCCCCAGTGTAGTGAGCTGTCTGTGATGCGGCAGACTGGCCCTCACCGCACATTCGTAAGGCTCGACTCTTTGACCCTGACTCTACGGCGGGTCGCAGGTGCCCTCGTCCTCGCGTCGCTCTTATCATTTCACACTGGATAGACACCTCTCGCTAAGGTGGCGTTGATATAGACGTTCCTTCAGCGTCAATCGAGTTCCATTGAAAGGAAACGCCTCCGTTACATAGAGGCGCTTTATAGCGTCCTGGTTCGTGACGTCCCCCGCCTCGGGTGTTCCGCCACACCATTGGCTGATTTCACACAGCATCAAACGGCGCAGCGTCTCCTTCTCTCTTCAGGGAACCGAGGGTACAGTCGCAATCGAGGCATTCAGAATTTATTTACAAAATGTGCAGTTTACGACAGAACACACTGTCAATCATTTTCTGTGTGTGTAAGTGTGTGCATGAGTGTGTGTGTGTGTGCACCGTGAACGCTCAGCTAGTTTTCCATTCATTCCCGCAGGCATGCTGGAATCATTTAGGGAACATGTTTCAATCAGTCACTCGATTACTCTCACACAGACCCACCTTTAGTGGCCACACGAACACAATCGATCTTAGTTTCCTGAGAGAGAGAGAGAGAGAGAGAGAGAGAGACATTAGATTAGTGAAAATGAACATGATGATCCACTCAAACACATCCAGAGCACTTTCTTCACAATTACGGCTGGTTTTACGCTGTGTTCTTGACAAGACAAAAATTTTTTTCTCTATTTTCACACGGCTTCATGGATAATCTTGATGTTAGTGTTTATTATATCCTCATAATATATTTCTCTCGTTTTCCTCTAAAAACACATAAAAGTCATTAAAACAAGATCAATTTACTTCAGAAGCAGAACTGCATGAGCTCAGGGAATATTTCTTAAATGAAGTTCATTTTTGTGCTGCGTTGTGAAAGAGCTTTTCCCGCTGTGAGACACGTAACGAGAGAACGACCGACAAACAAATGAACTTAATTCGAGAATTATTGTCTAAAAACAAGCGTGATGATGATCGGGCTCCTCAGAGTAAGCCGGTCTTGTTTATTAGGCGTTTATATGTTTACCCTGAGAATCAAGAACAGCTTCTCTGGAGAAGATTTAGCGATATTAAAGGCAGACAGTGAACATCTGCCGTATAAAATAATCATGATGTTTACCACTGAAAGATTTCTGCTCTTACTCGATGCTTTTCTCGTGTTTCCAGCACAAATATCTGGAGAATCTGTGATGACTGAATCTGATCACATCATGAGAGAGATCAGACTGAGATCAACATCCAGATCAAGCCGTCGCCGGACACACACACTGCGCTTTTACACCAATATTTGGCCATACAGTACAGCTTTTATTGATTAGAGTTTTAATGTTCATGTATTAATACTCTGAGCCGGAGTGTGTGATCTGTGTGGAGTGTGTGATGAATGCGAGCGCACGCAGCGGCGCGAGTGCAGACATTAGATGCTCACGGATGCATTATTAACACTCCAGACTAATTGGAAATTAGAATTATCAGCCATCGCTCTTTTTTATATGCTAATTGACTCTAATGAAAAGACGATTCTTTATTTCAGCGCAGGAGAAGGAGACGAGCTCCACAATATATCATTCGCTGAGTCTGAGAGTGTGTGTGTGTGTGTGCAGGAGAAGGAGACGAGCTCGACATTATATCATTCACTGGTCAGTGTGTGTGTGTGGCTGGTCTCCAGTAAGGTCAGGTAAAGGTGTTCAGAAGAGGTTATTAGAGAAAACAAGCTTCACTCCTGAGTCTCTGGGAAATCACTTCTCGTGGCCTTTCAGTGTTTATCAGCGTCGCGGTGAGAAGTGTCGAGACACACACACACACACACACATTCAGGGCAACGTTTCCGCGCTCACGGAAAACACAACACCTGCTCTAAATGCTTCTATTTGCAGAGGAACGTTTATATGATCACTTCTGTGGGGTTTATTAATAAGGATAATCAGTAACACTTGAACATTGACGAACTAACATGATCAATGTGTCTGTTTAAAGGGATAGTTCACTTTGAAATTAATTTTTGATATGTTTTATCTTCCCTCAAGGCCATCCGAGATGTAGGTGTCTTTGTTTCCACAGTATTTTCAAGTCAAACCGTTGTCGTCTGTCAGTCATACACTGGAGGCTAAGGGGGTCCACCAAAGAGCAGCACAGAGAAGTCCAAATTAAACATGATTTAATGACTCGTAAATGTAAGTACACACTGATGGCCTAAGACACGAAACGAGCGGTTTGTGTGAGAAAACCAACAGTATTTATATCGTTTTACCTCGTGTAATCACAGTGATCTGAATCAGTTGAACTGAACCGAACTGAATCAGTTCAATGTTACGCCGGAAGTGATCGCTTGCGTGTGACGTCACTCAATATTTACACGGAGATTTCGGAAGTTTTACCTTTTACTAAATATATTTAGATATACCGAAATCCTCTTCCATTGCGGTTTCCCGTATATCTAAATATGTTTAGTGAAAGGTAAAACTTACAAAATCTCTGTATAAACAAAGAGTGACGTCGGCGCGCGAGCGATCACTTCCAGACCGAAGCGCCCGTGCCGTGACATCATTTTGTCATGGCTATGATTACACGAGGTAAAAACGATATAAACACTGTTGGTTTTCTCACACAAACCGCTCGTTTCGTGTCTTAGGCCATCAGTGTGTACTTACATGTACGAGTCATTAAATCATGTTTAATTTGGACTTCTCTTTGGTGGACCCCCTTAGCCTCCAGTGTATGACTGATAGACAACAACGGTTTGACTGAAAAATGTCAAAATTGAAAATACTGTGGAAACAAAGACACCTACATCTCGGATGGCCTTGAGGTAAGATAAAACATATCAAAAATTAATTTCAAAGTCAACTATCCCTTTAAAGTCATCAAAGATCATCTAAACTACTTAAACTTTCAAATATATTCATTAAATAAATTTGTGCGCATTTATGAACATAACATAAACTTCTTAAATATTCAAATAAATATTAAATAATGACATTAATTATTATTATTGGTTGTTTATTAAACCTGAGTCGGGTCTGTTTAACTACATAAACTGAAAAATACATTTACAATTACAAAATGACATCATTTCTTAATAAGCATCAATCAAGAGTCGGACTGTAGCGTTCTTTAGTTGCACTATTAAACGCACTGAAGCTTCTCCAGATCCTGCGGATGAAGATACACACACACACACACACACTCCGCTAATGAGCTGAAGTCCTCGCTCGACCTCGCCGAACACATGTGGAACTTCTTAAAGGAGATAATTGGAGGAGGAAGAGCGCTGGGCTGAAGGTCACCGGAGCACGCGCACTTTTGTTTTCCTGTAAACGAGTGTCACCGCGGAGAACAGAAGCGGCGTCCGGTGATCGCGCGCGCTCCGCTAATTGGGAGCAATTAAAGAACAGCATGAGGCGAGTGACGAGAAACACTGGAGGAGGACTCGACTTCAGCTGACCACGACGACTCAAACTCAGAGCTTTATTCTAATCTGAAGTCACAATAAATAACGATAAAACATGAAGCCGGCTTTCATCGCAAAGGGCAAAAACTGACGGCGTTTAAATTACTCTCGGCCCACTGCTAATTACCAGCGGGAGTTTCTCTCTAACAACGGCTGCTTTTCTCCTCTAGAGTCGCTGAACACTGATATACACCTGACAAAGAATTAACTAATCAATGTCCTCAGCTGATTAATCAAAGTTCATTAAGACTATGGTTTTGTATTACACGTTTAAATATGCAAATGAGCCACTGTCTATTTAAATATGCACTCATTTGCATACATTCCCAGAACAGAAATCTGAACATCGGATCAAGCCAGGCTCAAAACTCTTGTTTGATTTTGTTGAGATATTTAAGGCTTTTGGTTTTGGTTCGTGTGCTCTCACCCCATTGGCTGAGCTGACGGTCTGAGGCTAGTGATGTCATATGTTCGTGTGCTCTCACCCCATTGGCTGAGCTGACGGTCTAAGACTTGTGATGTCATGTGTTCGTGTGCTATCACCCCATTGGCTGAGCTGATGGTCTGAGGCTAGTGATGTCATGTGTTTGTGTGCTCTCACCCCATTGGCTGAGCTGATGGTCTGAGGCTAGTGATGTCATGTGTTTGTGTGCTCTCACCCCATTGGCTGAGCTGACGGTCTGAGGCTAGTGATGTCATGTGTTCGTGTGCTCTCAACCCATTGGCTGAGCTGACGGTCTGAGGCTAGTGATGTCATGCGTTTGTGTGCTCTCACCCCATTGGCTGAGCTGACGGTCTGAGACTAGTGATGTCATGTGTTCGTGTGCTCTCACCCCATTGGCTGTGCTGACGGTCTGAGGCTAGTGATGTCATGTGTTCGTGTGCTCTCACCCCATTGGCTGAGCTGACGGTCTGAGACTCGTGATGTCATGTTTTCGTGTGCTATCACCCCATTGGCTGAGCTGACGGTCTGAGACTTGTGATGTCATGTGTTCATGTGCTCTCACCCCATTGGCTGAGCTGACGGTCTGAGGCTAGTGATGTCATGTTTTCGTGTGCTATCACCCCATTGGCTGAGCTGACGGTCTGAGGCTAGTGATGTCATGTTTTCGTGTGCTATCACCCCATTGGCTGAGCTGACGGTCTGAGGCTAGTGATGTCATGTGTTTGTGTGCTCTCACCCCATTGGCTGAGCTGACGGTCTGAGACTCGTGATGTCATGTGTTCGTGTGCTCTCACCCCATTGGCTGTGCTGACGGCCTGATAGTAGACGCTGTAGCTCTTGTGCGGGAGCAGCGGAAGGTTCCAGTATCCGCCATAGGTCCGGTTGTCCCCGACGGTGAAGGGCATCGGCGCCTGGATCCGGGCCGAGGGGAACTCAGCGCTGAAGTAGTACTGGGAGTTCAGGCCGGATGAGTTCTGGAAGTGGATGGGAATGGGATAACAGCGCAGGATCTCAGCAGCTCTCTGGGAACGACGGGGACGCTCCTCCTCCACCACCACCTGATACACACTGCAGGACAGACGTGTGTGTGTGAGAGTGTGTGTGGGTCACAGCTGACTGATGAGAGAGTTCACTGTTTCCAACACTGACAATAAATCATAAATGTTTCTTGCATCAGCATAGAATGATTTCCGAAGGATCATGTGACACTGAAGAAGGGCCGTAAAAGTTGATGCTACGGTGAAAAACTGTTAGTTGGTTAACAGAACGTTTCTGTATTATATACAGTGAATAACTGATAGATCTAACCGTACATTTAATGTACATTTACAGCAAGATACCGCATACGGTTTTTGGACCTGAAAAAGAACAAGTCATTGTATAATTTACAGTAAAAAAACCTAAATTGACATTCCCACAATTCCCGGCGTGACACGTCACATTTGATGTACTTTTGTTGAAATAACTGTTTCTTCATATATTTCTTAGTTTTTTTCTAATCAGTTATGTACATTAGGGTTTATGTTATATTGAATGTTGATAAATGAATGCTTATTGCATTTATAAAATGTCATGTGTTATCATGATGGTGATCAGTGTGTGTGTGTGACACTGTGAGCTTCTGTATATCAGTATTGTCTTTTTCAGCTTGTGGAGAAGCTGTTTGTGATGAGCTGTGATTGATCACGTGACTCATCTCCGCTATGATTGATCACGTGACTCATCTCCGCTATGATTCATCACGTGACTCATCTCGGCTGTGATTGATCATGTGACTCATCTCCACCATTATTGATCATGTGACTCATCTCCACTATGATTGATCACGCGACTTATCTCCGCTATGATTGATCACGTGACTCATCTCCACTGTGATTGATCACGTGACTCATCTCCGCTGTGATTGATCACGTGACTCATCTCCGCTATGATTGATCACGTGACTCATCTCCGCTGTGATTGATCACGTGACTCATCTCCGCTATGATTGATCACGTGACTCATCTCCGCTATGATTGATCACGTGACTCATCTCCGCTGTGATTGATCACGTGACTCATCTCCGCTATGATTCATCACGTGACTCATCTCGGCTGTGATTGATCATGTGACTCATCTCCACTATTATTGATCATGTGACTCATCTCCACTATGATTGATCACGTGACTCATCTCCGCTATGATTGATCACGTGACTCATCTCCACTGTGATTGATCACGTGACTCATCTCCGCTGTGATTGATCACGTGACTCATCTCCGCTATGATTGATCACGTGACTCATCTCCGCTGTGATTGATCACGTGACTCATCTCCGCTATGATTGATCACGTGACTCATCTCCGCTATGATTGATCACGTGACTCATCTCCGCTATGATTGATCACGTGACTCATCTCCGCTATGATTCATCACGTGACTCATCTCGGCTGTGATTGATCATGTGACTCATCTCCACTATTATTGATCACGCGACTCATCTCCGCTATGATTGATCACGTGACTCATCTCCACTGTGATTGATCACGTGACTCATCTCCGCTGTGATTGATCACGTGACTCATCTCCGCTATGATTGATCACGTGACTCATCTCCGCTGTGATTGATCACGTGACTCATCTCCGCTGTGATTGATCACGTGACTCATCTCCGCTGTGATTGATCACGTGACTCATCTCCGCTATGATTGATCACGTGACTCATCTCCGCTGTGATTGATCACGTGACTCATCTCCGCTGTGATTGATCATGTGACTCATCTCCGCTATGATTGATCACGTGACTCATCTCCACTATGATTGATCACGCGACTCATCTCCGCTATGATTGATCACGTGACTCATCTCCACTGTGATTGATCACGTGACTCATCTCCGCTGTGATTGATCACGTGACTCATCTCCGCTATGATTGATCACGTGACTCATCTCCGCTGTGATTGATCACGTGACTCATCTCCGCTATGATTGATCACGTGACTCATCTCCGCTATGATTGATCACGTGACTCATCTCCGCTGTGATTGATCACGTGACTCATCTCCGCTATGATTGATCACGTGACTCATCTCCGCTATGATTGATCACGTGACTCATCTCTGCTATGATTGATCACGTGACTCATCTCCGCTATGATTGATCACATGACTCATCTCCGCTGTGATTGGTGGATATCAGTGCATTACAATGGTACAAAACCGATATAAGTACATCAATATGTCTGAAAATGAACATTATATCAAATAACAAAATTATTTTTTTACTCTAATTTAAGTCTGTAAAACCTAAAATGTTGCTACTGTATTTTTTTTACGGCAAATTTCTGGGAACCGCGTTATTTTCCTGTTCTCACTGTGAAGCTGCTTTGAAACGATCTGTATTTTAAAAAGCGCTGTAGAAATAAAGGTGACCCGACATAGAAAACAGCTGATTTACAGTTGAATAATATTTCAGAATATTGCATTTTTTACAGTAACAGGATCATCGGGTGGACCGGGCCGAGACTCTTCCTCTGAACACCTCATTAACTGGCTAAAGCAGAAACCGGATCCTCGCTACGGCCGGATATTAAAACCCTGACCTTTGACACCAGGACGAGCTGAGCTTGGGTTCAGAAACAGCAGCGGACGCAGACGAGCTCCGGCACGAGTTCAGAGAGTTCAGTCTCGGCTCGCTTCATTTGTAAGAGGAATAATGGAATACGGAAAGACGGATGGGAAGCTTTTCCTCCAATTCTCCAGGAGGATCAAGAACGCCGAGCCCAGAGTCTTAGAGACGATCCTGCCGTCTGGGACTCGCCGACATCGACGGAATGAGGGTCGATTTATTATTACAGAGAAGACTCTAGATTCACAACTCTCTTCCTATCTATCTATCTATCTATCTATCTATCTATCTATCTATCTATCTATCTATCTATCTATCTATCTATCTATCTATCTATCTATCTATCATCTGTCTGTCTATCTATCAATCTATCAATTTTGTGTACTAGCAAACAAATCAGACAGAAGGCATTCACTGTGCATGTACAGAATACATATTAAAAATACCATGGTAAATGTCCAAAAACATGGTCCTTATTGGTTTCCCCCTTTCTGAGAAGCTCATATCTGCGTTTTCTGTTCATAGTGAAGAAGTGAAGTCAGAACTGCAGCTCGACCTCGTCAAACGAGCTCGCAATTAACATGTGAGATTTCTGCAATTAGCTGAACATTATTCCTGACTGATTAATAATTGAATTAGGAGGGTTTTAGGTTAATCAGTCACGGATGAATTATTTCACAAAGGTTAATAGAATCAATACATTCTGTTCTGGGATCATTTACTCTCTCGCTAATCGTCTACACGCTGTTCTGCTGTGAATCCTGTGAGCGCGCGGATCCTCCGTCGGATGAAGGTCAAACTCCGTCCCAAATACACACACCCTCTGGGATCTTAATGCGAGGTACAATATGATTTTAAAATATATTTATATATTATTATATAAAATAAAGTACTCACTGGAAAAATGGTGTAAGCAGAACGCCCTACAAATTGTCATAAGACTTGAAATAAAATACAATTTAAAATTGCATTATATACAGCAATGAGAAATTTTATAATAATTTATAATTTAAAAAAAGTTATATATATATATATACACACATTTTTTTAAGATAGACCTAGGCCTCATTTTCTTTCTTTTTTTGGGGGGGGGGGTGAAAATGATCTGGATTTGGTCATAAATATTCTACCAATAAAGACAAAGCACTTGTTATTTCTGCAGAAGTTGATAAAAATGATCTTGAAGTTGAAAAAAATATATGAAAATAAAAATTGTGTTTTAAAGTCTAATGTGAGTCTTCAAAATAAATAATCGTCACACCTACAGCATGTCTCCATATATCTTTTTTCTTTGTTAATGAATGTATATAACGTTGCCCTTTTAGTGTGAGGAACCGCACAACTACACAGCAATAAGATCAGATGCATGAAATATTAATTCCAGACGGAAAGCGAGTGATAAAGCTGGTAAATCACGAGCCAGAGAAGAGGAGAAAGGCCAGAGCCGGAGCGCGTCAGCAGAGAATAATTCATAATCATAACTCATCTGCTAAAGAGAAGAACAGGCTTTTATGATGATTTACTGACGACTTAAAGGCCAGCCATTACTTTACAGATATATGACAGATCTGAGATCCTTCATCACTGAAACACACACACACACACACACACACACACACTCCTGCTGACTCGTTCTCCACATTCAGGCGAGACGCTACAGGCGAACTCTGTCCATCAATTTTGAGATTTGGGCTTTTCATAAAGTGTTTTTTTCAGACTAGTGGACATCTATCTATCTATCTATCTATCTATCTATCTATCTATCTATCTATCTATCTATCTATCTATCTATCTATCTATCTATCTGTCTGTCTATCTATCTATCTGTCTATCCATCCATCCATCTATCTATCTATTTATCTATCTATCTATCTATCCATCCATCCATCCATCCATCCATCCATCCATCTATCCATCCATCTATCCATCTATCATCTATTCATCTATCTATCTTTCTATCTATCCATCTAGCCATCTATCCATCCATCCATCCATCTATCCATCTATTCATCCATCTATCTTTCTATCTTTCTATCTATCCATCTAGCCATCTGTGCATCCATCCATCCATCCATCCATCCATCTATCTATCTATCTATCTATCTATCTATCTATCTATCTATCTATCTATCTATCTATCTATCTATCTATCTATCTATCTATCTATCTATCTATCTATCTATCTATCTATCTAGCTTTGATCATCAAATACAAAAGTGTTGTGACAGTAAGTCATTTTGTTTTCAGAAACGGAAATCAGTCTCTTTCCTTTCTTTTATTCCCTGTAAATCCTGCTATAATCTTCCTCATATCCTCCTCTCGTCTCACTCGCCGTCTTCGGACTCCGAGGATCAGCGACCTTGGAAACTCTTCCTTTAATTAATGTGAAGGAAAAGGGATCCATGGCAACAGGAATCCGACTGACGGATATGAACCCGGAGTCGTTATGATGGGATGTTTGG